TTATTATTATTATAAAAATTTTTGTGTTACAAAATTTTCAAAATAACAGTTAAAAAATCCGCATATATGAAATTTAAATCGAGAGATCCACTAAATCAAAACTTATTGGGGTTGGTCACAACGGTTGATCATCAAAATTAATAAACATCAATAATTAATGGATAAATTTTCTGGAAAAAAATATCCGTTAAATCGAGACTCACTGTGTAGTACAGAGTATTTAATCAAATCTTAATCGTTAATCCTAAAAAAACTTTGAATTGTTTCTTTCCTGGAACAATCATATTAATTCATTCCCACTAAGTATAATCATTCAATTCATAATGAAAAAACTAAAGTTAGTATCAATTCTTATCATTGCAATATTTAGCAATTTTGCCTTTGCTATAGAGCCCTTGGGATGGAGAAGAGACGAATTATTTGATACTTTTCAGGATGGGAAAGGTTACGTTGAAGTATTCTCAAACCACTCATCTTTTATGGAAAGGGCTGTTTGCTCACCCGGATATTTCGAATGTCCAGGGACAAATTTATGTTGTACCAAAAAATGTGGTGCAGTTTGCGATAGTCATTGTTGTGAGGTAGGCTACTTTTGTTGCAAATATGGTTGTTGTCCATCGGGCTATCAATGTTGTGGAAACGGTACTTGCTGTAAGATAGACCAAGTTTGTGCCAGCATTGGTTTTTGTAAAGAGGCAACGATATCAACATCAATATTAACATCAACACAGACAATGATGTCAACATCAATATCTGCATCAACGTCAACATCGGCACCACAGGAAACAAATGATTGTACAGACTTTGAATTTGACAGTAATACACAAAATCTTATCAAAAAAGATAATACATAGGTAAACTCGATAAGTCGGACACAAATGGCTGGAGATGGTGTCCGACTTATCAAGAGATCCGACTTATCAAAATATGCAATTTTACAAAAAAAATAAAAATAAAAAAAATAAGAAAATCGTTGTTTAAATCGTATTTATTTATTTATAACAATAATTGAAAAAATAATTTAATAAAAC